AGCTTTCCACATTTGATCATCTCTTCTCCCTCAGGGGTACACTCCTTAATGTGAATTGTAATCGAAAAAATGGAGTGGGATCTGCTACTTTGCTTGTTGAGTAAAGTCTCTGCAGTACGCCTCTTTGCAGACCCTTTGTCCAAGATTTTGTAGATTTCACCAGCAGTATAGACTACCTCTTCTTCCAGTCCTCTCACAAAGACACCACCCTTCCCATCTTCCATGAGAGCTATAGGCTTTTTGGACTTGTCATCAGAGAATTTTGATTCATCTGGGGCCAAAAGATCAGTTATCTCCTCGTTATATAGCTCAAGAAATGTGACTTTCATGCTGTACTCAGCACATTGTGATTCAAGTATGTCAAAGATATGCCGCACTGCCCTCGGGATAACTCCAGCATCGCTTGGGAATTCTCCATTCTACAATAAGTTCATATATATGATCAGAGATGAAAAAAGTGCAGCAGCTGCAACATTTCATTTGATCTGTTCTCGAGGGGGAGGAACTTACCTTGGCTTTTCTTCCTCCGCCTTCCATCGTGTAGGTCTTCCCGGTGCCAGTCTGCCCATATGCAAAGATGGTGCAATTGTAGCCCTCAAGAACCTCGTTCACTATAGGAGCAATAGATTGATCAAACAAATCCTTTTGCTTGGAAGTTGGGCCAAAAACCTGCACAGTTATCAAACTGATAATAAGTCTAACACGTAGGGTAGCAGAAAAGGTTCACTGACAAAATAATGAAACCAGAAGTTATAAAGACCTTGTCAAAAGTAAATGTTCTGTCAATCTGTTTGTTAGCAATATTCTGAGCAGCTAAAACTTCTCGACGGTGTTCATTGCAGGTTATGACCGCGGGCGTGTTCAACCTCGCCTCGTCGTCACTTAATGGCCTGAAAATAGTTCGGGGAATGGATTCAGCAAAGCAAGATCTAAAAATATGAGAGACAAGCCGCCGTCTTAGAGTCCAATTCGTTCACCTGCATCTGAGAATGACTTGGACATTGACCCCCTTGTCCCTGTCAAGCTTGCTGCTGGAGTTCCCATTCCCGTCAAGTGACCGGAAATCTCTCCCATGTTTATCCGTGGATCTCGGCGTTTGTGAGGGCGACACCGGCACAAATCCCCCTTTCTTTTGCGAGCTATCCATCTCACCGTTACCTGAGACGTCCAGATTTTCAATTCATTAACATCTCAGACCAATTTTTCAAAACATATACCCTAAGAATCTGCGTTGTTCGAGTAGAAACCCAAAGCAGGATCGAACGATCAAAGAACATTTCAAAAAGATAAAATGAAAACCCCAATACCCCCGATCGCCAGCATCAATATGCCGATCAAAACCCAAGAAAACCCCCCGAAGGTAACACCTCGAACTAAAACCAAAACCCGCATCATAAAGCCGGACAGGAGCTCGGCCGGCACCAGAAGGAAGTCAATGTGGAAGAGACAGAACGAGGGAAAGGGGGAACAACACACCACGAGCCGACAGCCGACGATGGGCGATCGACAGCAATCCAGAAATCTGGGAGAAGAGCCAATGATCGACGGATCTTCAGCCGGCTGCAGCAACTCAAAAGAAGAGAGGGAGAGAGAGAGAGAGAGGACTCGTCGCCGCCCTCTCTCCTCTTTCGGCTGCTTTCCGGGGTTCAATCCAGGGAGAATCCTGCACTGGATCTTGAGGTTTGGGCGAGAATTTGCAGCCGAAGAAGGATTTGGGAGAGAGGGAGAGGATGAATCGGAGGCGATGAGAAATAGAGGGGCAGAGTGAGAGAGGGATGAGAAGTAAATAGGAAAAATAAGGGCAATAAATTATGTGATGTGGGGAAGGTGGGTTGGGTTTGAATTGAAACGAAAGGCCGTCACTGATGCCGTTAGTTAGCCGTTTGGGAGCGGCATCCGACCGTTAGAAGTAGCAGATGGTCCCCACCATATATATATACATATATTATATATGCTCGAAATCATACGGTCATGGTTTGAACTTTGAATGCGATTCCTTAATGTGTATTTTAGTTGACTTTTTCTAATTAATGTTTAATGTTGAAGAAAAATAAATATTATTTATTACGCAACACATGAATTAAATACCACATTAGATAAACATGATTATTTTTGTCAAGTTAATACTAAATCGAAATAAAAAAAATACTTTTTACCTTACTACAAACTGAAAAAATTATATTTTATTTTAACTTACATGTCAAAAAGGATTATATTGAATTTTCTCATCCCGTTCTTTCCTTTCATCAAAAACAAAATTATGTTAGTTCATACCTTTTATTTTCGGAGAGATGAATAAGAAGATAACAATAAACGGTTCATGAATTATTAACATTTAAGATATAAATATATTATTTTATATCATTAATATAATGATGAATATATATATATATATATATATATATATATATATATATATATATATATATATATATATATAATTCTTGCTCTTATACTTGAAAGTAATTTTATCCTTTTCCTTTTTTTTTATTGAACTAGTTATTTCTAACGAGAGACATCTCTGTTGACTCAACTATCATACATCTTGTCAACAATCTTCATGTGAGATGATAAAAGCATACACCCCTCTCTCCCTCCTTTCTTTCTCTCTTGTGATCGATGGTGAGAGTGCACAGGCTATTCCATCTCTTTTCTCACTCATAATTGATAGAATGAGAGGGTGTTTACGGGTGTTCGATGATACGCCTCTTCCCTCTTCCCTCATGACTAATAACAAGGACTACGAGTAAGAAGGGGAAGGGGGTGGGTCTATAAGCAATGGTGACGATTGCAAGTGAGAAAAGAGCAGTGAGGGCTTACGGGTGATTGATGATACGTCTCTTCCCTCTTCCCTTATGACTAATAACAAGGATCACGGGCGAGGAGGGGGGGGGGGGGGGGGGGGAGAGGGAGGGGTGGGTCCATAAGCAATGGTAACGGCTGTAAGTGAGAGGAGAACAACAACGAGTCATCACACGAGGATTTTAGATGATTGTTTGGGGTGAAGGGGAGCAATCGACAAGACAGAGACATGACTATGAGATGATGATGTGGAGGGTGATGACCTACATTGATAAAATGATCATTTAAAAAAAATATTGTTTTAATTTTTTTTTAAATGATAGTGCACTAAAATAAAATTTAAAAAGTATAAGTTTGTTTTTGATAATTCACTATTAATATAATTAATTGGACTTTTAGGGGGAACTTATTGTCTCATAGTGATTTGACTTGAAGTCCTCGAAGCTGTTCGATTCTGTATTTAGTAACGTTACATTCTTAAACGAATGCATTCCATCAAATATAAAGGCCCCCTAGCTTGTCTTTCTGTATCATCATTGCATACCCAATTAGTTGGTGCAATTTAAGCCTCCCATTCTCTATTATCACATGAGATTAAAATGTTGCTACAATTTAAGATGCCATCCCTTTTAAATCATCATTGCTTCTCTAATCTCATCATCCATTGGTCACTTTTTTTTTTTGGGAGTTCCCTTTTCTTTAGTCGAAATGATGCCTACCACCTTTGTTGTAGATAATATATTATAAAGGATAAATATTCTCTCTTTTTATTCTTAGAAACTTGGACTTCTTCATCTTTAAATAAATTTTATTTATCATCAACTAAGTATTAGATTGAAAGTATTTTCTAAAATATATCAGGATATTTCAAACAGGTGAAAGAACAAAAAAAAAACCTTGTACAGTTGTTCTAATATTCATATTTTCTAAACACTGACACAGGTAGTATTTAATTGTTATCAGTTCTCAAAAGTCCAACTCAAAATCAAGAAAATCCAACCATGTTTTCACTGATCAGACTATCCTCAAATCACTATTTATAAGTCTAAAAGTAAAATCAGGACTTATGTTCTAAGATTTACCACAAGAAGAAGTGCTCCTTAGGAGTCTGTACACAAGATCAATTTCATGGTGATCCCTTCCACCACTGTTTTAAGAGTATTATTATGCTACATGTCATTGACATGAAGATACACTCAAAATGAAGAAGGAAACTACTCAGCTACAATCTAAGAAGGAGAGGAGAAAATAAGAGCAGCTTACCAAAATTGGGTTGGCATCCAATCCAAGTTGAGCCATTATGACCTAACATGGTGAGTGACCACACCTGTCTCTGTGCACCTTTACTTGGTCCCAATCTTGTTCAGGTGGCCTCTCCTTTGCATAGTATATGAACACCTTTACAGTTACATCATTTGCAAGAAGTATAAATAGGGCAAATTATTGTCCTCTTTGCCTGCTACTATGCAATTGAATTCATATCAAACTCAACCTGAAAAGGGAAGAACTGGTGACACATTTATTTTCCATCATCACAAACTTCTCTGCTCTGAAACATGTGATGCTGTGTTGGCCATTTATTGGCAGAGTGATGGACATTTGATGCAACAGTTGGGTCAACCTTTGAGATCAAAGCATTGCAGTAGAATGAAACATGCACAAAAATCATTTCTCTTCAACATCAGATTTGCTTGTCAACACAAGCATATGACTTTTTCTCCAACTATTAGTTATGTCTTGTGTTATAATAGTCAATCTGTTGCTTGATTATTTTTCAACAATAGTGTTAATCAATTGATTACTCCAATGAGTCCGACTCAAATTGATCATAATTTTTAATTCATTCCTCTCTCTATCTTTCCTGTTGTTGATAAATATGATAAAGGATATATTATATTATTATTATTATTATGATAATAATAAAGCTCGAAATGGATGGACATTTGCGAAATCGGAATTGGGCTCAGTCTCTTAACGGGCCTTATCTGAGCCCAACTGTGGTCGCATCGCCCTCTTTGTTGGAGCCTACGGTAGCCCAATTAACGGCTATATAAATCGATGCAATACTCCTGGCCGTCCAGATAACTTCGGCATCGACAAATCTGACGGCCAAAATATCGACAACTCATGAATCCGGATGCTTCAATCATCCACCAATCGTAGGCATCTCTTCGCTCTTTATAGAGTCTTGCACCCAAAGCTTCTGTCGCAAGTCGACATCGTCCTCTCCTCTCCTCTTTTTACTAGCTCGTGAATCCCCTTATTCCGCTCGATCGTGCACCCTAATGGCGCCCAAGGCCGAGAAGAAGCCGGCGGAGAAGAAGCCTGCTGCCGCCGCCGAGAAGCCGGCCGTGGATAAGGAGAAGAAGTCTGTGGCCGAGAAAGCCCCAGCTGAGAAGAAGCCCAAGGCCGGGAAGCGCATCCCGTCCTCCAAGGACGGCGCGGGTTCGGCCGGCGACAAGAAAAGGAGGAAGGCGAAGAAGGGGACGGAGACCTACAAGATCTACATCTTCAAGGTGCTCAAGCAGGTCCACCCGGACATCGGCATCTCCAGCAAGGCCATGTCCATCATGAACTCCTTCATCAACGACATCTTCGAGAAGCTCGCCCAGGAGGCCTCCCGCCTCGCCCGCTATAACAAGAAGCCCACCATCACGTCTCGCGAGATCCAGACCTCCGTCCGTCTCGTCCTCCCCGGTGAGCTCGCCAAGCACGCCGTCTCTGAGGGCACCAAGGCCGTCACCAAGTTCACCAGCTCTTGAACGGTGACAAGATTCGGATCTGGGAACCTAGGGTTTTCTCTAAACACTCTCTGCTTTTTTGTGAGCCTCGTATTTTGTTCTGCTATCTTGATGGATGATGATTGCTGTTGTAATATACTAGTTTATGATCAAAAGAAAAGAGAGAGGATTCTCATTCAATCAGCAGAGTAAGTTTAGCCTCACTCTGATGTTTGATGATGAGATTGTGTGCATTTGCCGTTACATTGGTTTTTAGTCTGGGATTGAAGATTGAAGTCTATGGTCAGGTGGCTGCTGCTTGTTTTGTTGGATGTCTAACCGTCTATGCTGTAGCCAATCGGCGCTGTGTTCGATTGACGGCCCGTGTTCCTCCAGTGGCGATGGTGGGTGTCAGATGTGTGGACCAATGAGATGGCGGTTTGGTGGTCATAAAAGTAGTGCCGAGACCCGCTTGTAATATTAAACTATTTTAATTGAAAAACATAATAATAGGTGATAGTGAAAATATTCGACCTCAATTAAGACTCCACATCTAGTTAGGTAGCCATGAGTCTTTTGTGTTTACTCGAATCGATACCCGAATAGTGATTCATCAAGTTACAGGGGACCCATCTGCATCTTAAGCGGGTATTTATGCAATCGTCGTGATGAGAAGTCCTCAAGACCATAACCAAGCCAACGGAAGACGCAGAGTGTACCCATCTCATCTGGTTTGTGATCCTCCCGAGCCCCCCTTTTACTCCCGTTCGATTCCTGGATTGTCGCCACCGATCTCTTCGCTGTTATCGCCGCCACCCTAGAAATGGTATGCTATTCCTCCTCTCTTTGTCGGCGCTCCGATGCCGGCGGTTGCGGATCCCTGTTCTTGGATCAGATTCGTCCAGGGTTCTTGTGTCGATCGTGTCCGATCCATGATCGATCAACTCGATTCTGATCGGCTGCGGCTCCTCCGGGGTTTTGTCTGGTTCTTTTCTTGCTGCAATTTGTGGATGGATCTGAGTTCGATTGCGATGATCTGACTTCGTTTATGCTGTTATCATTTTGGTTTCGCGTTGATCTTTTGGAGCAAGTGATGGTTTAGGCATGGATTTGTAGAATGATTCTTTTGGTTGCTCTCAAGCAAGATTCGATTCTGTTAGTTCATGATGCTATCGGTATTGGTATCGCAATTTCCAACATCATATATCGCAGGCAAACGCGGCGTCCGGAATGGCCGTCAATGATGATTGCAAGCTCAAATTCTTGGAGTTGAAGGCCAAAAGAACTTACCGTTTCATAGTATTCAAGATCGACGAGAAGCAGAAGGAAGTGGTCGTGGACAAGGTCGGCGAGCCCTCTTCGAACTACGATGATTTTGCTGCCGCTCTCCCGACCGATGAATGTAGATATGCCATATATGACTTCGATTTCGTGACCGAAGAGAACTGCCAGAAGAGTAAGATCTTTTTTATCGCATGGTAAGTTTTCCTGTTGCATCGAAATGAACGTAACCATCGGGCTGTTGCAGTTGAGATATGACCCCATATTTTTGTCAATGTGAAGGTCCCCTGATTCCTCGAGAGTGCGCAGTAAGATGCTTTATGCAAGCTCCAAGGACCGATTCAAGAGGGAGTTAGATGGTATCCAGGTCGAACTGCAAGCAACTGATCCTACGGAGATGGGCCTTGACGTCTTTAGAAGCCGTGCAAATTGAGCATCTCCTGCTTACTCGGAGGAGGTATCCCTTCTGCAAACTACTTGATCGAACTGTTCAATAGTTCCAAACGTGCTGCATTGAAATGCAAATATTCATTGACTCTTTTAAGCATCTTTCAAATCGAGTATATCTTGCTAATCTGTTTCTTGGTTGGACCTATGAGGTAAGTTTCTACTTGTAGCCTGATGTTTACAAAGGCAAAGGTATGTATGTGTTGGCTAGCTGGTTAGACAACACTTGTTGCTTGTTCTAATAATTTTCATTCGAAACTTGGCCTAGATTCATGTTCTTTTTATGCTGATTTCTTATTGATGCTTAAGGGTTTTCAGTGTTTTTGATATATTCGTTCCGAATCTCTCTCGTATTGTTTCCTTTGCTTTCTCATGCATTATACTATATGAAAGATGTTATTATTTTATTGAATTTTCTTGCTCTTGCATTTAAATTTATATACGATAAAGGCAGAATTAGCAGTCTTATTAGGTTGTCTACGATTTCATTGCAAACCCGAAACATAAAAGTAATTTGTCAGTGTTCCTTTCTTTTAATGTATGTTATAAATTGAAGTCAGTATAAAGAATCATGCTTTCTCCATCCTACCGAATCAAGTAGGATGCGTGTAGGCTTGATTGGTAGAGTGATATTACGTTTTATAAATAACCGAGGGATGTTTGAGTGAAGACTGCTGGAGAGAGAGACTGAGGGAAGGGAGTTGAGAACATAATGGGTTGGTTTTAGGGGAGATTTAGCAAACACTTGGCAGTAATTTGTCATAGAGCTCAATGATGGCCCGTGAAGCTCTCTCAAGATGCTGTCCATTGTGTGCAGCAGCAGGATATCACATGATGGGTTTAATTAGTGCCAGCGAAATCATAGTGTTGCAGATGATTTAAATGACAAAAAGAAGGGACAAAAAAAGACTGGAGGAACTCCGAGCACTTGGTGTTGGATCGGGAGCGTTGAAGTGACACAGTTCATTTCCTATCCGGAGTGGAGTTTATCTGATTAAGTGCACGATAATTCACCCAGTGATCTTCTAAGAACTCTCCAATCATGTAAAGGAACACAAACAATAATTTCCTGGCTACAGCATTTAATTATATAGTTCTCATCTCTCCATGACGTTGGCTTTGTACATAATATACAAGGAAATGAATTTGGAGATAGAGATGGAGGTAGGCAACTTTGATAAGGTCGACGCCAGGAAAGCAGCAGTACCTGCATGCGGTAGCTGATACGGTGCCATGCGGTGCATACGTGGCGGCTCGTCAAGTGTGCCAGCAGACTCATGACACTCGCTCTGTTTTCCCACTAGTGTTATTTTATCATCGCCTCTTCCGGCTTATAAGCCAACCCCACTCCTTGGATCCGTAGAATAGCTTCTTAAGGAGAAGAATGTCAAGTGACAAGAGTCGCGCTGGGTCTATGGATTCAACAGGCGATGACTACCGCCTTCGCGTGGTCATGCTACCATGGCTCGCCCATGGCCACGCCTCGCCGTTCCTGGAGCTCGCCAAGCGCTTGTCACGCCACGACGTGTTCGTCCACTTCTGCTCCACTCCCGCCAACCTCGTCTCCATGCGCGAACAGTTCGACGCCAATGCCTTCCCTTCCATCCGGCTGGTGGAGCTCCAACTGCCCGCACTCCCCGGTCTCCCGCCTGACCTCCACACCACCAAACACCTCCCGTCCCACCTGATGCCCACCCTCAAGCAGGCCTTCGACCTCGCGGAGCCCGACTTCGGGCTCCTCCTCCAAGCCTTGCACCCCGACCTGCTCATCTACGACTTCCTCCAACCTTGGGCGCCCCTCTCGGCGCACCGCCGCAACATCCCGGCCATCCAGTTCCTTACCACCGCCGCTTCCTCCGCGGCCTTCTTCTGCCACTGCATCAAACGACCGACCGAAGAGTTTCCGTTCCCGGCCATGTCGCTGGGCGTGAAGGAGAACCTGGAACACATTGCCACGATGAACCGGTTTGCCAACGGCATGTCGGACGGGGAGCGCTTCCTCCGCTGCATGGACCGCTCCTCGGGCTTCATCGCCATCAGGACGTTCCGGGAGATCGAGGCCAAGTACATCGACTACTTGTCCTGCGTGCTGGACAAGGAGGTCGTGCCCGTGGGGCCTCTTGTTCCGGACGACGACGACGACGACGACGACGACGGTAGCAGCGGGCGGGATCGCCTGACGGTCAAGGACCGCGAGACCGAGCGGTCGATCATGTCGTGGCTGGGCGCCAAGGAGAAGTCCTCCGTCGTGCTCGCAACGTTCGGCAGCGAGTACTTCATGTGCAAGGAGGAGATGCGGGAGGTAGCGCGCGGGTTGGAGCTCAGCGGGTTGAGCTTTATCTGGGTGGTGAGGTTCCCAAAGGACGGAATCCTCCCCACGGTTGCCGGCGATAGTAGCTCGTGGGCTACTGCTCTGCCGAGCGGTTTTGTGGAGAGGGTCGTGAAGGGGGAAGGCAGGGGATTGGTGGTGGAGGGGTGGGCGCCGCAGAGAAAGATCCTGTCCCACCCAGGCGTGGGCGGCTTCCTCACCCACTGCGGGTGGAGCTCGGTGGTGGAGGCCATGAAGTATGGGGTGCCCATCATCGCGCTCCCGCTGCAGCTGGACCAGCCCCCGAACGCCAAGTTGGTGGAGGAGCTCGGGGTGGGGATGGCGGTAAGGAAAGGGAAGGGCGTGCTCGGCGAGTTCGAGGGCGAGGAGGTGGCGAAGGGGATCCGGGACGTGGTGGTCGGCGAGCAAGGGGAGAGCGTGAGGAGGAAGGCGCGGCAGATGGCCCGCGTCATAAGCCGAAGGGACGACGAGGAGACCAAGGTGTTGGTGGAAAAGATGGCGGCGCTTGGCGAGGCGGCGAAGAGAGATGGGAGGGAGGTGATTTGATGAGTGTTCGTGATTCGCAGTAGAAATCACGATGATGTGATGTCAAATGTCCTTTGACTTGGATATCTCCGCAATGTACAAACGTCCTTTGAAACGTTGTTACGATGGCGTCGATATAAACCGTGACAAAATAACGTAACTGTCACATCAGATCACGTTAGAAACGCTTGTTACGATGACGTCTATACAAGCCGTGAAAAAATAACGTTACTGTAGCATATTAGTTCATGATGAAAGCCACGGAAAAAAACTTTCCGATTAAAGAGCATTACAAGACAATTTACAATTAATATGTGGCCAACAAAAGCTATTTAAATCCCCCAAATCCAGAAATTACAACATGATGAGCAACATTGAGAGAGTTGAGATAAGATTTGCCTTTCTGCAGCAAACTTGGGCGACCATTCCAATTCGCTCGCACGACCATAACAGTATCATGTTAGCATTCAAAAAGCTCATGCACCTGCACATATACAACTCTATCAGATACATTCGATCTTGTAAATCTGAACCTTTCATTTCCAATGTCTTTTACCTGCAACGGTGGTAACAGCGCTTTAGATAGCCGAGGAAGAGCCTTTACATACAGAGCTTTCAACCTTTTCATGTAATTTTCTAAGGTATGGGTGTTCTCATCTAACACATCATTTGTCACTGTATCTTCGGCTAGTCTTACAGCTGCCTGCTGAGATATTTGATACGCATCTGCAGCGGATTGAAGCTTACGGGCAATTTCCTCCAAACCAAGCATTATAAGAGTTACAACGAGGGATTTAAGTTCACGTTGGCTGCTCTCAGTGAGGGACATGCCCTTCAAATACTCCACTAGTGCCAGCTCCTCTCCAGGGCTGTACGATGACATGCATTCAATTAGAAATATGAATAGAAATATGAACAGGTCACACCCATTCCTCGAATTGTTATTGATATCTACTATAAAATGGTAATGAAGGAAGTTGAGGAAAATGCAAGTTAGAACAGAAAAAGATTGTAAAACTGCACCTTCCAGGACGAATCTTTCCACCTTTATGTCTTTGATGTCTCATCGCACGAGCCTTACTGGCTTTACTTGAGCTGATGGAAGCACTTGATTCCCTTGCTGTCCTGTTAAGAGTTCCAGCACGTCATTCTTGGTTTGAGTTACAAGTTTATGCCATTTTAAATTTTATGAACAAAACAGAATAAATAGGTAGCTCAACACAAGCAGTAGAGTATATGTACCACAATTATCAAAAGCTACATAAACTCAATACATGATGCAATTAAAAATCAGCGTTGCAAAAAGGCAGGAACAAAATGTTTAACTGCAGGAAACACTTCTGGTCCAAACCGAAGATGCTTTCTAAGACGGTTTAGATTCAAAAATCAAAATTCTGAATGGTAATAAAATGAAGCTGCGGTGTCGATGCAATGAAGCGCACGAAGGGAGCAAACAAATTGCAGAAAAGAACAGTAAGATAAAGTTACTTGTAAATTTAATTTAATTCACACAATATAATTTGGAAAGAGTATACAATCTGGCTCCTCTTTAAGATTTTTCATTTTTTTGGGTTGCTACCACTTCCCAAAGAACCTTTTCTCACAATGACACTCCAAATAACCTTTTTTTTTTCAGATCGAATTTTTTTTACTTTGTATCTTTATTCTGAAAATATTAGCAATTTGCTTGTCAAATAAACCTGAATTCCTCTTGCCATTTGTTACACTGTATGACCTACTTGAATGTAAAAAAGACCTTCAATAAACATGAAAAACCAAGCTCAAATACTCTATATAAGTTAGAAATTTAAGAAGTCATTCTGTTCTGTAGTATAGATGAAAAATGCAAACACATGATTTTTCCTATTATAAAAAAAATAATAGCACTGCATTAATTATAATCACTTCCATCAGATGGATAAGACCAATATACCTTAACGACACACAACTTCAGAATGGAAAATTGCCAGCTTAAAGGATACAAGTTTGTATAGATAACAAATATTCAGTGACATCAAAACACAAGATAAAAAAAATATATATATATGTGATGCCATTTCTGTGCAATCATATATGTGTTTTCTTTGATAACCAGTGGAAACAAATGGAAGGTAGAGTTCTAAGAATGATCTTTCCAACAAAATTAATGAACACAAAAATAGAAGGAACAGGTAATAACTTTGCTTTAAAAAGCATACCTTGTGGTGTATGCACTCATTTCGCTGAAAGTAGTGCTGCTTTCTGAAAGAGTATCATAATCAGCATCATTTACGGACCTGTCCTCTGATTGAATCTTAGCTGCAAATAGTATTCTTCTCTGGCGTACAGCTAGATAGCGGGCAGAATATTTCCCTACTTTCTCGAACCCCTCGTTGTATTCAGAGGTCAATGCAGTGGCACATTCTACACATGCATCCTTCACAGGGGTGAGCAAATCCAGCTCTTCTTGCATACAGGCAATTCTGAGAGCCTCTTCCCACTCTCGTGACATTATTAAATAATCAACGGCTCTGGCAAAATCCTTTAAATACTCAAGCGAAATTTTAGCAGCCTCAGCTGGCTTCCCAAGTGCTTGAAATTCTTCACAAAGATCATTTGCTAGTAGTAGAACCTCTCCTTTTCCTAGTTTAAGGAGACCAGCTACTGTAAATACACCTCTCCAATCAGCACAAGCACGATATGCCCTTTGAGCTTTCTGAAGTGATGAGCAACTTAAATAGATCCTAGCAGCATCTTCAAAGCATTTTTCAGCATTAAGATGGTCACCCCATGCCTCTAGGATCTGTAATCTCTTGACAGGGTCAGAAAATAACTGAAGGCCGAGTGGAAAAAGTTCAGGGTTATTCTTCAGAAGGTTCATGCAATCTTCGTAATAATCATCACCTGCCAAGACAATATGTTTTAGTGCGCTCTCATACCTATGCAGTCTTAGATCGATTGTATATCTCATAACAGGAGGGGGCAATTCTTCAAGTCCTTTGAGAAAGGGAAGAAATTCCTTTGGATCTTTTTGTGAGTTTAATGCTACAATGGCAGCAAGGTTAAGATCGTACAAGCCTAAAGCAGCTTCATAAACAGCCTCAGGGTCCGTCAACCATAGCAGATGCTTTAGAGATTCTTCAGCAGAAGGATATGACTTTCGCCTACCATCATCAACCCTCAATAGTTCCAATTCTCGGATTACTTTTATTCTATTCAGTGCTTCCTCCAAAGCTGGAGGTTCACTGCGAGCTAAAGTAGTCAATATACAGAGCTCTCTAGCAGGTTTTTCCGGTATTTGTTCTTCTAGGGCTCTCCGCACAGCTAATAAAACACTAGAAATCTTGCTCTCCATGTGAACACTTTCAGTGTGTCCAGATGTGGTCTCATTGGAAGCAGGCAGTGAAATATAGGCCTTGTAGAGAGTGCTAATCACATTCTCATTCTTGATTGAAGAGACAAACTCTGTTATATGGCCAAGATTATCTACTTGACAGACAAACTCTTTAGCTGATTTAAGAAAAGCTTTCCAGCCATAGTAGTCAACAATGACGTTGAAATCTATCCTATGTCTCCTTACCATGAGCATTGCATCCTTGAACCGCCCTTGAACCAGAGCATTAATGATTGACACAAGAACCAATTTTCTTGGATAGATACATTCTAAGCTACCTCGATTAGTTTGTAGTATGACTGCTGCTTCATCCCCATGAATTACCCCAATCAGTTTTGCACCTCTTTCCCATATACGCACCAAGTCTTTATTTTCCTCTGCATGGTTGTTAGAACTACTGTATCCATCAATTTTTGTTTCTGGATTTCCATGTAAAACATCATCCATGCTGACAATAATTAGAAGATCGTGCTTGGTGGTAAGAAGCAAGTGTGTGACCACTTGCTCAGAAACACTGCAAGTGGTGGAGTAAAATGAGAAACTACTGCAGTTTTTACATAATATTCTCCTCCCAAAATGCAGTCTGCCATTATCATCAAGCCCAAAAATCAAGTGTTTTAAAGTGCCATTATCACGAACAAGGACTGCTTTCATCCAAGGGCATGAGGATGAAAAACCATGCTCAGATTTAAATTCATGAAGATATGAATGTTCAGGTATCATCACATTGGAAGAAGAATACTCCACAACTGATCCTCCATGAAACTGAATAAAGGCTGAAAATTTTTTGTTTGGAATGGGGGCAATAGCGATGATAGGTTCTTCAAAAGACCTTAACTTCGAGATCTTTGCATGCCAACCTGAAGAACTAACTGATTCAGGTACAGAATTCTCAGAACATACAAGTTCAATCTCCTGCAACAAGTAACCATGGGGTTGCTTCTGTTTTTGAGCAAGAACATATTTCCCTAATGATGCTGAACAACTGTGAGATCCCAAAGAAGATACACCAAGCAGAACATGTGAATCCAACCACGTGAGATGCATAAAGGTGTCCAATGCTGAATCAGCTTGACAAGCTTCAATGTTGAATACTTCTCCTTCAAACTGATCCCATAAATCCATCCTAGGAAGCTCCACTACACATAAATCACTGTTAGACAAGCATGCAGCTACATAATTCTTTGAGTTCTTAAAAAAGAAAGAAATATCCTGAACAGCACAAGAAAACTTCAGATTGAAAAGGGACATGGGAGGTGGCACGAGGGAAAGTGAAAGAGGAGTAACTAGCACATTGGAGTTATCAATAACCAATGCTATCGATGTCTCAGTAACAGCAGTTGACCAGAGAAAGTTGTAGGCTATGATCTTTCCACACAGTGTCCAACTAATCAAATGCAATGGCTTTGATGGATCCCAGATATACCTCACTCTGTCTTTCTTTGGATATCTTATGTCTTTCTTTAAGTACCAGTGGTTGTTGCTGAAGGACCAAATTTTGATACTATCATACTCATCACCAATAACAGAAGCAGAAAGCAGGTCAGAATTGCAATTCCATTTTAATATTTCAACTGTTGCTTCCACTGGCCCGTCAATTGGAAAGGAGTTCCTCTCCAATCCATTTTTCTCAAAAAGTACTACCAGAGGACATTTATTTTCATTCTTCCTGTCACATATGGTTGCCACTTTAGCTCCACTTGGCATCCAATCCAAGGATGTTCCCATGAACTTCCTAAACTCTGAAGAAGAATATAAGTCTCCAGATTCACGTTCCCAAACCCTAAGCTTTTGCAAAGAAAAAGAGTCATAAACTCCACTTATGGTAGCATAGAACCTTCCATCTCCTCGCCAAGAAATGGAGCTCTCAAAATGATTGATGGAGTGACTATCCATGTCACTTACATTCACATTCTGGCAAGAAACTTAATCAGAGATATGCACAAAACAAAGAAAGGTATAAGAAAAACTATACGTTATGAAGATCATAAGTACAATTAGATATGTATAGCAATCATGTCTGACTTAAATAGTAGATTAGGTATTATAACCATGTCAAAGCTATGCAATAGATGCCATCTCTTCAGAAAAACAAAAGCCACAACAAAAAGAAGGGAAAAGAAGCCTTGAGTATTGCTATATTCTGAAAGTACATATGTAATATTGAAGAAAAAAAGTTAAAAGTGCAAAAATTTCGTCTGAACAGGAGTCTTGAATTATCAGGTACGTGTGCATGAAGCCAAGTGAATACCAAAGTTGAGGGTAAACACACATATAATCGCCATTTATTGTTAAACAAGTGCCAAAGTTAAGCTAGATGCAATTCGATGTTGAGAAAGAGGGTACAACTTACATCGGAAAGTTGAGGGTCAAGTGGGATTTCATATTGTACTTCCCACTCGTAAGTCATGACTAGTAACTGCCCAGATCCAGAAGTTACAGCCAGAAGAGCTCCATCTGGACTAGAAACAAGACTCTTCACTCCACCCTTTACCTCACCAACAATTTCAGTTGTTTTCATATCGACATTATACAGTAGTAAGCAACCCCCTGAAGATCCCAGTATTAGTGCTTCCTTCTCCATCAGATAATCCATCGCAGTTATGTGGTCCCCAGGTTCTAAAGGTAGTGGCTCGGCTTCTGAAGATGAATCCTAGCAACACAAAAAATGGGAGAGAGAAAGAGAAGTTCATACACTTATGAATCAATGTGCAAATTTAAAATGTCAATATTACAAGAATAATCCCTTGCAATTAATTTTTAGTGTCTTGCCTCCTACCATGGAAGATAGTGGCCAACAAATACTGTATCAAATTTCAATTATGCTCACACAGTCACACAGTTAGAATGCAAGAAACTTAAAAACATAAAAAAGCAAGAAACTAAGGAACTTATAAAAAATATATGAAAGAAAAACCCACCAGCCATCTGGCAATGAAGAATCACTATCTCTAATTAAGTAATTTTAAAGATATTTTAGAATTTTGGCTAGAGGTTTCTGCCTCAATTTTAACTTCAAAAAGTAAAAAAGAAAAAAGCTTCCAGCATTACACCATAAAATGATTCAAAGATGATAGTTGCAAAGCTAACTCACTCAAGAAAATTTCAAAAGCAAAATACAAAAGAATTAATGATAAATTAATCAGAGATAAACCAACTACAAGGTGTGTCAAAATACAAATGAATGGGTAGCCCACTAAATCGATCACACTACAGATGAAGCACAATGAGCTCCTGCATTAGAATGAAATGAGTACCAATCTTTGAAGTCACCAAATTAAGCAAAAAGAGAAGTCTCCACTGGGTTACAGGGTAAAACGAACAGTTTAATCAGGTTCTGTTTTGTAGGATGAACGATGAGCTTCTCGCGTCGGATAAAATGAGTGCAAAAGCATCGATATGTGAAGGTAAAAAAGAAAAATCAAGCAAAAAAGAGAAATATCCATGAATATCGAGGTTCATTCTCGTTATTCCACCAGCAATATGATGCTTTAGCACATGAACCTGATCGAACGGCTAGAACAAGAGATTTTGTGGACTCCTGTTTTTGCACGGAACAAATTAACACCACTTAATAGAAAAGACTGCAGACGGAAGGGTGTTCGTCAATTGCTTACATGAGACAAGGGGAGCTGGAGAGTGTAGACGACATTAGCGGAAGAGGCAAAGAAGACACGGTTGCGCTCGATGTCGAATGCGGAAAGCAGAAGGGTTTCCCCCTCGAACTGCAACTCCAGATCCCGCGAGAACTGCGACGAGAGTTTCAGGTTCTTCATCCCTCCTTCAATAGTTGGTTATCCGAAAGCAGTGATCAGATCGGAACCTAGAAACGGGAAAAAGGAAATGGAGCGCGTTTGCTTGGGTTTCGCAAACCGGACGACGGCGGCGGAGCAGCGGAAGATCGCCGCAAGGGTTCACGTAGGGTTTTGTTCTACCACCGAACCCACAGTGATGTCGCGAACTGCTCGTAAGCCCATCAAATATGGGCCTAAATGGAGCCCAATAAGGCTCAAAAGACTCGAGGTCTCGACCTACGCGTACCTTCAACTATTGTTTTCCGGAAACATCAAAGTTTACCTGCCTGTTTATTGGTTCACATGTGGGTTCCACAAGTGAGGCCACGAAAGTATGGCTGCTGGTCTAGCGAACGAGTAGGAAGTGTTAAATCTGGCCGACGGCTGTTGCGCAGCCAACACACTATGGGCTGTCTTCGTCGTAACCTACCAACCGAGACGTTGTCACGAACCACTGTTAAGGCACCGACTGCCCATCAATTGTCCACGATCTAATCGCTCATCTCACTGCTCGTGAGCGATCCAACCGTTCACTTTCCCTCGAAAGGAAATAAAGGTGAACGCGGTGTCGGCGATCTCCGAATCTACAGCTCGTCTGGAGGAGGAAATCGGAGAGGAGGAAGGAGAGGCTCGTCGAATCCCTAAAGCCTCTCTCTCCTCCTCATCCTTCCCCTCCTCTTAGATCGATCCCTAGCCTCACCCGGATCCGGGATCCGTGATTCGGGATCCGGGGTTTTTTTGGATCGTGATCGGGATGGCGGCCTCGCGACGCCTCCGCGAACTCCAGACGCAGCCGGGGAACAAGACATGCGTCGACTGCGCCCAGAAGAACCCGCAGTGGGCTTCCGTCTCCTACGGCGTCTTCATGTGCCTCGAGTGCTCCGGCAAGCACCGTGGCCTCGGTGTCCACATCAGCTTCGTCCGTTCCGTCACCATGGACTCGTGGTCCGAGATCCAACTCAAGAAGATGGAGGCCGGCGGGAACGACCGCCTCAACGCCTTCGTCGCCCGCTACGGCGTCCCTAAGGAGACCGACATCGTCGCCAAGTACAACACCCGGGCTGCTGCTGTCTACCGCGACCGCATCCAGGCGCTCGCCGAGGGCCGCCCGTGGCAGGACCCTCCGGTCGTCAAGGAAACGCTCGGTTCTGGGGCCAGAAAGCCGCCGTTGGGACGGAGCGGTGGGAAAGGAGGGAACACGTCGAGCAACGGTGGTTGGGATAGTTGGGACAATGATGACTTCCAGTCCGCGTCTTTTCCTGATATGAGGAGGAATCAGTCGGCGGGTGATTTTAGGGCTGGTAGCGGCGGTGGGGTTGGAGGGGTGCAGCAGCCGCCCAGATCTAGATCGACGGAGGATATTTACACCAGGGCGCAGCTGGAGGTATCGGCGGATAACAAGGAGAGCTTTTTTGCAAGGAAAATGCTGGAAAATGATTCTCGGCCTGAAGGAATCCCACCATCGCAGGGGGGAAAATATGTGGGATTTGGGTCGACGCCACCTCCTTCTCAAAGGAACAATTCGCAGGGTGATGCGCTCCGAGATACAGTTTCAGTTGTTTCTCAGGTGATCAACAAGGCACATAAAATTTGCACATAACTTATTCTCGCTAGTTACTTGCCTATCTAGTGGCTGGGTTTACATGTATTAGAGTATGCTGATTTTGCTGATTGATAATTGATCTGACAGGTAAGCTTTTCTAGACCTTCGGAGGTGCAATCCTTTGGTCTGCTATGTTGCTTTCATGGAATACATGAACCAGGATTGTTGTTACTTATAAGTATCTGCATAAAGACACAGATTGCAAATTTTGCTGATTCACTGTATACCATTTTGTGCACTCATTATCATTTTGTTTACAAGTTTTCTGTTTTTTTGTCTATTGTGGAAATAATACATTAATATAAATTCTTGTAAGAAACAAAGCATGAGTTGAGAATTATGTGAATTGTCAGCAAGATCAATGTGGTCCCAAGTATTTGATGGCTGATCTTGTTGAATCCTCAATGCCATTTAGCTCCACTAGGTCTAATGACCTTAGGCAAGAATAGTCCAACTGTTATGTACTGAATAAGTTGAACATTTTCGTCTGATTATGTCATGTACTGATTGAGTTGAACAATTTCGTCTGATTATTCATTCATTTTGATAGGGCCTTGGTCGACTATCTTTTGTTGCAAGCTCTGCTGCACAGTCTGCCGCTAACGTTGTCCATGCAGGCACAAAGGAGCTGACTTCAAAGGTACTGTTTAGTTTCTCCTATCTAAAATTTGCAGATTATAAGTTGTTGTTTTATGTACTCTACACATATAGTGGAATGCTAGCTTTCCTTCGTTCATGTTTGCTATAGGCAGAAAAAAGCAACTAATGATGGTTGCCCCTTGTATATGATATTCAGATTCGACAAGATTTTACTCATCATAAGTTGCATTTTTAGGGAAAACTTCCAATTCAATAAGATCTTTACTTTTGTATGGTAGACATATTTCTCGTTGGAATTGATGCATAAATACATGTAATTGCTATCTTAAAACATGTTCTTAATATTGCATTTGATTTAATATATGTAAATATAAATTGATTATTTAGTAACATGCTATTAAATTGTTTTACAACTGATAAAACAAAAGTCCGATAGAAGAAGATGGTATAAGCTGTAATCTGGTTCTCTCACTTATAACTATCTCCTTCTCAATAATACAAGCTTGTTGCAAGAGTTCTCCTTCAGTCAGAACAAATCACAGAAAAATTGCTCCATTTTGATACTATTTTTCTGTAAGTGCTCTAATTGTACATGTGTGTATGCTTAAGGTCTTGTTGTGGTTAAAATCTGTTGGAGTATACTTTATTTTGAGGTCTATTTTCCTGACAAGCATAGCTGTGGTAGTGATACCCTATACATTTTTTAATGGTAGGAAAGGATCCATGTGGCCAACCCTGTTGCTATTGTATTCCTAGGTAAAGCTGTCTTTTCCATTTTTCTAGCATTCTATGAGGTTAGTGTTTTAAAGATCTGTCATTTTAGGGTTGGTTTTAGAGTCCAAATGCAGTAGGAAGAGTGGTCAGGCATTGTCTTATCATTATCTCTTTGTTACTCAAACTTTATGTAAAACGCTGGGATAATGTAAGTGCTATGTCGTTGTGATGAGCCTCTGGGATTGGAACAGGTTTAGATGCTTTAGATACATGACATTGTGTTAACAAGTTCTTCACACATGACATCTTTTAGAAAGGTGAGTATATTTTTTGAGGAAGGCAAGACCTTTTATCCCTCTTCTTTGCTTCGAGCATGCTTTGTATCTTTCTATTTCACATATATCCATCCTTTTGATCTTCTTCAGTCTTTACAGTAGTTTCGATTGTTTCAGTTTGAAGATGAGCTAAAAGCCCCTTTAGTTTGGATTTGATTCTAAAGCTTTTTATTTTTTAAAAATAATCAACGATGAGAGTTGGTGCTGAAGCCTATTCTATACCGACTTCAACATAACTGTGAAGCAATTTTCAAGGCATAGTTGTTGGAACTATGTGATAAAATTAGCAACTTGATAAATCAACTTAAAAATAATTAGGGCATGAATGCTGATGAGCACAATTAAAGATTTAGAGAGGTTCCACGACAAAGGACTGGGGAGTCATTTTGACAACGAAATATAAGCTAACCCTGTTGAGACCTATGACTCCAAAGATGCTTCAGTCTTGACAAACTTAAATCATTCAGTCCAATGATTTTAGTAAACTACTGTCATGATTCCAGCAATTCAAGAGGTCCTCAAGTTGAAGTGACAAATTCAGTGAAAATTGTTATTCGAACAATCAACTATAGTTTTTGTCAGTGGATCTAAAATTCAGATTTTATTTTTTTATATTTTTGACAGAATGTGGGACAGCATGTGTAAACTTTAAAACAGGTTTAGATAGCACGATGTGATGGGTATGTCACTAGTTCCTGCATGCAGTAGCTAGTACTTGAATGCAAGTTGTTGGCTCTTTTTTCTTTTCCTTCTTATCAACGATGACTGGAGTTGCTGCCAATATGTTAGATCACTTTGCATACCACATTGATACTACTGAGGACATTCCCTTGTTCTTTTGTTTTAATTTACCCTTCTAAGTTTCTACCTTCACTGTAGGCTATATATAGCATATGGTTTTATTGTTCACTTTAAGATTTGTAGAAAATATTGCAGGAAACTCATAAGACAGATGATGATTGATTGGGATAATTTTGGTAGAGTTTGTACATTCTACACGCTTATATGTTATATTGCAAGGAAAACATTAGGTGTATCTTAAATTGTACTTTTTATAATGCAGATGAAAGAGGCAGGATATGATCATAAAGTCAATGAAACTGTGAGTGTGGTTACAACAAAAACCACCGAGATTGGGCAGAAGACATGGGGAATCATGAAAGGTGTTATGGCAATGGCATCACAAAAAGTTGAGGAATACACCAAAGAAGGGATCAATTGGAAGACTGATGATTCGTCATGGAAAGAGAGTGAGAAAAATAGTTTCTATCAAAAATTTAGTCAGGACAACAATGGTTGGAATTCCTCTCAAGAAAATTCAAACAAAAATTACAATTCCGTCGGCTCGTGGGATGACTGGGATGAGAAAGAAACGAAAGAACAACCTAGGAAGGGCACACAGAATGGTGAAAGCTGGGCAGGCTGGGATGATGATGTGAAAGATGATGATGGCAATGATAATTATAATTACACTTGGTCTAACAAGGTTGGCAATCAAAATGGAAAATCTGGTTCGTCATGGACGGATGGTGGTTTCCTTTGAGGTTCATCTGTTCTTTCTATCCCAATCTCCTCTTTGGTATATACAGGATATGCAAAAAAAAGGAATGCATTTATATAAGTTTTATGTTCTTTATAAATTGGATTAATTACCCAAATCTTAATTTTCTTTCTCTAGAAACTGTCTGCATTTTGTACTTTTTCTGCAACATTGACAATTGATTTTGTCTTTATATCACAATTTAAAGATTTGGTTGTGTAAGAAATAAGCATATTTAAGTTTTAGGCTGTCCTGATTATTACTTGTGCTTCGAGTGAGCATCTTTTTAGCAGCTTCAGGAGCAATTGTGACTTTCCTTCATATTTAAGTTCAAATCTCGCATTCGATATTTATTCTTTGTCAAAAAAAATTACAGTAGTTATCTATATATATATATATACTTTCCTTCATGTGTGCTGTATTATTTTAAATTTGTGGGATGCGAACAATTTTTGATTGATTTTTGGTTTTTAAGTTACATTTTGAATGACTTACTAATAATAATTGAAATTAAAATTTTAGTAATTTTTATTCATGAGAAATATTATTAAATATATTTGAAGAAATAATCAACACATGCATTTAGATGAACTCGAACAACCCGAATTATTATATAAGCAAATACTTCACAAATTATTGCATATACGGAGGTTGAACATTCTAGAAGTCCTTTTTCTTTTTCGAACATATATAAATCGTGACGGCAATTAACCATATATATATATACACACTGTAAAACCTTGTATTCCCGTGTTTCTATCACAAATCCCCCAAGGGGACGGGCAAAGAGGCTTCTCTTGATCGAACTACCTTTCCACCCCAAGAATTCCTTCCCCTCATGCCGATCCCTGCCCTATCATCATCCTCCTCCGCCACCGTCGCCTCTGCAGTCGGTGAACTTCTCTTCATCGAACCAGCTGCTCGTTGACCCCAAGTATCCTACCTCACAAGCCGATCCGGCTCTATCATCGTCCTCCTCCTCCGCCACCGCCGATCTTCTCTTGTCCGAACCAACTACCTCCCGACACCAAGAATCCTCCCTCGGACACCTGTCCCCACCCTATAATCGTCCTCCTCTTCCGCTTCTTCCGGTGAATTTCTACTCATCGTACCAGCTACTTGTCGACCCAAGAATTTTTCCTCATTTGCCGATAGCGTCACTATCATCGTCCTCCTTCACCCGCCGCTGCTTCCGGCGAACTTCTCTTGAGAACCAACTAACTCTCGACCCCAAGAATCCTCCCTTAGACGTCGATCCCTGCCCTATCATCATCCTCCTCCTCCGCTGCTGGATAACTCTCTTGATCGATCAGCACCCTCTCGACTCCAAGAATCCTCGCTGATACGCCGTTCCCCGCCCTATCGTAGCCGCGTAGATTCACAGACGATGATCATGGCCTTGGACATGTCCCTCGACAGCAACATCAAGAACAAGAAAGAAGTCCGGTGCCGGTAAGAGTTTTCGTGGAGGGAAATCCGTCGGATTCTTACCCGTCCGTTTGGGGAATCGGTCTCCCCCATACTCGATGGGACGTGACTCTCGTCCTCCACCACCCATACGATCGAAACCTCTTCACTTGGATCCGCGGTTCAGTGCTTATACGGCTGCAGCGGCTACGGTTTTCCATGAAGGCAATCTTTCTTGCCTTTTCTATCTCTCTTCCAATATAATTTCCTTCAGTTTGATCGTTATTATTTTCTTGTTAGACTGCATAAAAAAAGAATTATCTATTGTCTTTTGATCGGTTTTCTAAATCTTTTTTGGTTGCACTGCTTGTCATAGATCTGGATCGTTGTAGCTCATGTCTTTGATAGATAAACGAAGTGTTACAGCAATAACTTCTTTAATGCCAGTTTGTAAGATGTCATTTGAAAGCTTACCCAACAAATAGCAGTAGAATCAAGAAATATGTCGATGGAAAAAAATGGGACAGTAGTTCAGTTACACAAAATGGCTTCCCCCTCAACTTCAAGATACAAGAATATGGAATAGATGTTATTTATTGTTTCTGGAAATTCATTGTTGAGATCACACAGTAGGACTTTCTGTGGATGGTGTGGTTTAGAATCTTGAGATTCGCTGGGTTAGTCAAGACCGATCAGGTGATCAGAATTTTGGCTAAAAAGAAAAAAAGGAAAAAAATGAGGAAAACAAGATTTTGGTAAAAGATCACTTAAAAATAACATAACTCAAAGTTTAGAATTAGTAAATAAACATGACAATCAAGCATTCTCCTCTTTGCTGACTAGCGGACAACGGATTTGGCCGACTGGAAATTGTAGTGGTTGAATCCCCATTTGTCCATCCATGACTAACACCAGATCAAGGAACACTGTGGCATGCTTTATTGGTAAAGTTGATATAGGACCCTGAATTGGCAACTCAGGGATGGGTCCATCTGGATTAGAATTATATGGTTTTTTAAACCATAGTGTTTCATTTCACCTTTTCTGTTATTCTATTTGCATACAGTGATTCATGGACCTATCATTCAGATTCTTGAAGCATATTTTAAGATAACTCTTCAGGTTTGTATGCTTCTTTAGCAATACTTGGAGGAAGTGATTACATTGAATTAGTTTCTCTTTTATTCTTTGGAGACATAGAGAGGTGAAATGTCTAAGGATTTGTCACATGTAACCTCCTCAAAACATCTCCCAAGCCTCATGATTGACTTCCATGGGAAATGTGTTATCCTTGAATACCCACAATATTAAAGCTTATGTTTGTTGGATATTGATTTCTTTGATAGGCTCTCCATGCTTAACAAAATAATATAAACCATTATAAAAATAATAATGATAATTATGCAATACAAGAGATTGATAGTTGGCACTGTACAGTTAGCTCTCTTTCAAGAAAAAGAAATAGAGTATCAAGATTTCTTGTGGCATATATGGCCACTAACCAGAATTCAATTTTTCATTAAAGTGAATATTCATCTTGAAATGACATGCCCTGCTTTTCTGACAAATTATTTCTTGTGGCGTATATGGTCGCTAACCAGAATTCAAAGCTGTTGTAGATCATATTTGAAGAGTGGACAATTCCGAAACATACAAGTTGTCTTGTTTTAGTTACACATTTTTTACATATGATTTCACATTTTTGGATATGCCTAGATATTATCTTATGTTGGCTTTCTGTTATCTCCATACAATAGGAAGTCTTTTCTCTTGTTGTGGCTGTCTAAAATTAGCTTTCAACTGGTCCAGGAGCTTTTTGTATAGGTTAGTGATCTGAAGCCTTGATTAATTATGACGGAAGTGGAAGATCCAAGGTACTTCATTTAGCTTGGTCATGTTTCTCTAGTTATGTGTTTCACTTAACTGAATTTTTGGTGATTCAAGGAATGGCTGAAGTTGTTTTAAGTTGTTCTTTTTATGCAGGCAGATGCTTTAGCAGCCATGGAGAAGCCCAACAATGTACAATTTGATGGCAAACAAATGCATATATATGTGATGCTTCCAAAAGGTTTGCCCATTTTGCTCTTCCAGTGGTGCATGCCAAAGTTTTAAATTTTTTTATATATGCTAATCATAGTCTTTTCTGATCGAAAGAAGGGTTTTAAATTTAATTCTAGTTCTAGAAATCCTTTAACTATTTTGCTTAGAGATATTTGGCTTTTATCTAAATCTTGAGGTCTGACTTGTAGAATACATCTTTCCCATTCTTTTGAGTATAAACCTGGTAAGTTATATACGAGTCCGGTTGATTCTGTGAATTCTGACAGTCTCTCAAAGAGTGCGGGTTTTGGGTCTGGCTCCGCTAATTTTTATTCGGATGAGAGTGTGGGCTGGATCCACAAACCATGGTAGAGATGGTTTAAGTTCATTACTTTATGGATCAGCAGTCATGTCATGTGGCCTTGAAACTCTTGCATGGGTTAATGGTCACTTCAAATATGAAGTTTATCTTTGCCTCGGAAAGTCCATAGTCAGATAATCTGGTCTTGATTCAGAGCATTATTGAAACTTCAAATATGAAGTTTCTCCTTTTATTTATTTTTAGTGTATGTTTTGTAGTTTGTCATAGTTAATGTTCTCTATGTTTTCATCACTTCAATGATGCAATTTAAGTGAACAAAAGGAGAATTTTTTTCTTTTTTTAAAAGGGTGCTCCAGGCATCTTCTCACACTTCGTTTCGGCCAATGTTCACCCATAGGCCTATAGTCAGCCTTCCTTTACAGCAAAATAAAGATGGGTTCTTTTTCACGTTGGTATATGACTTGTATGGAGAGAAGACGACTGGTACTTGTTGAATCAATGACTTAGGTAGTTGCTCCCAAGACTGTAGATTTCTGATGCATGTTAGTAATTACGGTTTAATGGTCATGCCTACTTGGTGGGGGTGCATGTACTTGAACTTTTTAGTAGTCACATTCATGAGACTACTATTATTCTGTTCAAAAGCTCGCAAGTTGCCGACAGGAATTTTATCGGTACCAACGGACTGTCGTGTAGTCTCTGGATGAGATTTGCATGAACAAACTACACTTTTTAACACGAGTCATAATAATATACGAGAGAAAAGAGAAAAAATCATGAGAAAAAAAAGATAAAATCTCGTGTTACCTTCCAAAAGTCATCAAAGATCACAATTTAACAGAGCGTAAAAATTTAAAGAAAAAGTACAAAACCACACACAGGCAGCAGCACGTGCGAATGGCATCCGTTGCCGCTAAGAACGTTTAGATTTTCTGATGTTCTCCCAACTCGAAATAATCACCCGTAGTATGTAGTACACAACAGTTGTGACACAAGTTACGATAAAGTTCCAACAAGATGAAGGCCAATACCAAGGATAAAGCAACCTAAAGAAGACGCTTATCACGTGCCGCGGGTACCGTCCAACCTATGACATCCGATTAATAGCCATCAGAATAAATGTAAAAGAAATTTTCTCAAGTTTTAGATCTGGGAATGTATGATCATTGTGCGCTTAAAAAAGGCGATAATGTTAAAAACAAAAGGCATGGGGTTGTAAAAAGAAGAAAACTTTAGTCCAGATGCACTGTAAGATGTCACTCGCTCCAAACAATTTGGACTTTTTTTTTTCGGTGGCTAAAAAGTAAAAAATTTGGACCATGGCTTCTGTAAAATATATTTTCTTAAATGCTGTATCCTACTCTTTTATGTTATCTTCACAGATATATCTAAATATCCCAACTCTGTCCATGCTTCACGTAAATCATTCAAACTAGTTCGTTACAATCACCAAAAAGACCACTCACCGGGAAGAGAAGATCCAATGTATCCCAGGCTGCATGGCGTACAGCTCTTGTTGGATACATGGGCCCTCCGGGGGAAGTGAAGCTGTACAGGCATGCCTTCAGCCTTGTACTCGTCGCCATCCTCAATTCTAGACCTACACAAAGTGTTACAAAACCAGATTATATCTAAAGGAGGCCAGTTTCATAAAAACATAGTCGTCTATCTACAACCTTTAAGGGTACCCATACGGGAGAGATAGTGCAAAAGCACTGGTTCCACTTTTAACTTCTGAAGCTGAAAATATAAAATGTGATCGTTAATGCTTTGTCCCGTGAGCAACTCGATGCTGGAAAACTAACCTGATCTGAGAGCTCAATTACAAATATATCTTCTGGACCTCCAACTAAAAAGGCATTTGGGTAAGCTGGAAAGTGCTTTAGAAAAGGTTCAAGCAAGTCATCTGCTAGTTGCAAAGTACATTCAATGATATAGACATCATTATGCTTTGTCGAACAGGGAGCTAAAAGTTAATAAAACCGCACCTAGTTTATAAAAGAACAAAAACCTGGAGAGGAGAAGATAGAGATCTCGACGGGCCTAGAAAAAGAATAATGATCAGATAGATTGTACCCATAAAAACACTAAATAATCCGTGAGCAACGGGATAGCAACCCTGCTAATATTATGTAATAAAGAAAAACCTGCAAAGAGATTTTATTGCTCCGATCTGGTACAAGTGCAACCTCCTCAAGAAGATACTGAAAAAAGACAAGAAAAATAAAAGCCAATTCAACATTGGAAAACAAATGAAGGCAACATTGGAAAGTAATCTCGGAGTTGTATTTTACACTGAATAAGGAAAAAAATCTCCTCCTATTTGCTTGAATGTCAATCCTGTAAACAGACAAATGAAGCTCTAAGATGAATCAAATCAACAGGCAAAAGAAAATGCAGCAAAACCATGATCAGCTTCAATGAACTAAAGTAAACTAGTTTGCATTTGATGTTACCAATGCATATAGAATAACAATTGAACTTCTCGGTGTAACAATAGTATCAGCTACAAAAGGTATACTATTAAGAATGAAAATATAATATCAACTCAATTATATTCACACAAATACACCACAACTTATTTCTCATGGCAACTACAAGTATCAAGTAATACATATTGAGTACTCTACCGTGTTGTCTCCACAACCAATTAATCATCGCCTATCCTATCAAAAGTGAACCATAGTAATCACCTTCCCCTTTTAGACTTGGTCTTCGTTTTAATTATGATGTCTCGACTTATAGGGGATCTCCAAACAACTAAATTACAATACAGTTAACCCAGTAAGGCGACATCCTGACCCGTAAAGCATAACTAACTTCACCATTGTTTTGCAAAATTTTCATACACAAACTGATCACACAAAAAACCCAATGTCTTGCACCACTTTGATGAATTCAGTCTCTTCCACTATAAACAATATCTTCACCAATCTTTTCCTAAAACTTCTAGTGTAGCTCTTCGTCCATCCATTTCAACTACACTTCTCCTCCTCTTAAAATTACCAAAATTTTATTTCATATATCTATCTTAGTCTTTGTCCGAAAACCTTATTTTTAATGTTTGTCTCCACACCTCAAGTCAAAAAAATATCCAAATTAAAATTTTATTGCAAAACAATATTATCAACAGCCAACATGGAGATCAATCATCTCCATGACCAATAAGCTCACCCATCAACAATGTGGAGAAAATAAAGATCAAAAGTTGATCCTTGATATCATCAGACACACTTCTTATGGTCCACACATTGATGATTACTCTATTGCACAAGGCTTTTATTATATCAGCATAATTACTGCATCCTTCTTTCTTCTCTAAAATCACCACAATAAGTCTCTAGACATTCTATCACAATCTTTTTAAGCCAACAAAAGCTACATGCATATATTTCTCTTTTTCTCTATTTCTTCATTATCTTATCTAAACAACCTGTTACAGTAGTCATCAATAACTTTTACATTGGTCCCACAACAATTTGTATGACCAAAATATGATGTCTACAAAATTTTTAAATCATAAGATGTATTTATATCATAAGATATACAAAGTCAAATGTACTTACTATTGTTATCTACAGAATTTGCCATTCTACTCATACCAATAATAGTCAATTAGGAAGTAATGGTGGCGGCAGCCACCGGGGGCATGACTTACCAGAAAACATTGGAAGCACCATGAACAAGGGCAGATCCATAACGCAGCAGTACTTCAGAAGTTTCAACAGAAACTTCAAATAACTAGAAGAACGAAACCATTATAAATCAGTATAATCTTTGCGTACAAGATAATACATATAAGAATATAAGAAAAGATATCAAGGCATTTACAACATAATATCTATCAATAGGACATGTTGATTCTATAGGACATTGTCCAACCTAATTCCTAGTGGCCTAATTGAATTGAATTGAACACACTATTTACAAGACAAGGTTATGGGAGGTTTCTTTTTTATAGCCTTTATTCATATTTCCAGATAAAAATTGACTGGAACAGACATTCTTGAAATGCTCGTATAGCCAGAACAAAAAAAAAATCATGCGTGGGACAACATCACAATATGATAAAAATTAATAAATAACACAACATACACCAAAACTTCGCAGCAGATGTTAGCAAACCAACATGCACAGGGAACAATAGAAATAGTAGTTGGATGGAAGTGCTCAAAACAAATGAAGCCTGAAATGATAGACAATCTTATCTATTAGTTGCATTAAAGGATTTCAATAATAAAAAACATACCCACTTATGGAATAAAAGGGCAAATATATGTGCGACAAAAGACTGGCTCCAAAGTTGGACAATCAAATCAAGAATGTTCTTTCCACTTCCGGGTGCTTCAACATAATAATCAGCAAGTACCTCATAGAAACACAGGGTCTCAGTTCCATCATCTGCAGAAGCAATTTCATCTTCATCCTTCTTGAGGATCATGTCTGTTAAGCACATTATGAAAAGTCAGAATCCAAATGGATTTAGCACCATCCCATAATTGCTGACATACAGCCACAATAATGTCACTCCAAGTTGCATAATAAAAAACAAGCAGGTTATCATTTCCATGCATCATATAGAGGCATAAAACACAAATACGATAGAAACAGCAATGATAGATTAAATCTAATTAGAGAAAGTAACCAAATACAAGCATGACTAACACTCAGATGTATTTTCAAAATTAGAGATGACATCAACCTCCTAAGCACAGAAGCCATAATATTCTAAATCAATATTATTTCTTAATTTGTTTCATGTCACACAACAAAGACAAAAGCAGAACGGCATTAAAAAAAAATCTAACCACGATGCTAATTCATGTATCAATTAATCAGATATTCTTGTCGACTTATCTCTGCAATATTTGACCATTCATTGAGGTATGCATTCGGTAGCCACATGGCACAACACTACAGCAGACTATCTAGTGCTCTTACCTGATAAAATGAATCTGAAGACAAGAATCAAAACAACAGAGAAATGGTCTTTTCATACATAGAAAGACCATATCCACCCTTTTCCAACCATGTAATACACAATACAAGATTCAACGTGTGCTGTAAGCCAACGAAGAAATAAATGCAAATTGAAGCATCACAGAAACGAGAGGAACCTCGAGCTCGATCCTCGATCTCCAAAGCCGCATCAGCAAATAATTTTTGAAGCAACTCAGGTCTCTGCCCTGGTGAAATCAACGCCTGCAAAAGAACAAGAATACCGACGGCTACCGGCCCTCAATTCCTTCATCCTTGCAAGGTTCCAGAAATGTTGCAAAAGCAACATTACGTAAATAGACAAACACCAGGATTCAAGAACTCAATTTCTACCCGGACAAGGTTTTCAAGATTTCACCGCCATCCGACCAAAAGCAAGAAAATGAACGAGAAAGAAGCGCCATCAGAACCAAGAACCAAACCCCCTCACCTTCTGGAGCTTTCTCTCGATCTCCTGCGTGAGAGCGGCTAGGTAAGTCGATCTCCGATCCTCCGGGGCCTGCTGCATCGTCCCGATCGCCCAAACGCGGAAACATTTGAGGACCCACACCGAACCCTAACCCCACAATCTCGACGGCTGACTCTCCCACTCCGATCCGATCGAAACCCACATGAATTCGCTAAAATCAGGAGCCGGAAACATGGAAAATTCGAAGCCCTACCAAGATTTGGGCGGCGACGTAACGGGGGGAGCCAGCGACGGAACCATGGAAGCCGACCTCGCAAGAAACTCACCGACTCGCATCTCCCGACGAGAGGGAGACGAGTTTGGCCCAACTTTATATATCACAGTAAAGAATGATGACGTGTCTCCAAAGTTTGCCCCCTCGACCAACTCCTGATGCACGTGACCCACAATCGTACCGAACTATGAACGGGACGGTTGCCCCCTCGACCAACTCCTGAAGTTTGGGGTTTCGTGTTTGAGTTTATGTATATATATATATATATATATATATATATATATATATATATATATATATATATATATATATATATATATTCACCGACTTTATATCTAATATATGAATGTGATGATGATATACTAAATTTATTAATGAAAGATTATAAATTTTAAATTTTGAATAAAAAACTAATTCCAAACAGAAGGTTTGATATGTGCTAATTTGATAAAAAAACAATTCAGATTTCCAAAAGATCCTAAGATCAAATATTGTCTTCCATATTTACACTCTACAAAAAATTATAAAAAAATTATAGGTATAATTTTCAACCTTTGCAAGTTTGCATGGGCTAATGTAAAATAATACCTACAAACTGAACAATCAATAGTAAAAAAAAAGAATAATAAGAAAAGATTGAATCAAAGTCATCTCTTATTTTTTCCGGTAATCAAGAGAGAAGGGCAACGTTTGCAAATTTATTTTGAAGATCGGAGACCCGAGTCACAAACAGTTCATACTTTCCATTCAATGCCAAACAAATGCGTTTCGGTTATTCCAGCAAAACGAGAGAGTGCAAATGCATATAAAGGCATCAAAGAGGAGAGCCAAATCCACCACCTCCAGGAGTATATATCTGAAGAATCTCACCGGCATCCACCTTCAAAGAGTTCTTCCCTCCGAGATACACCCTTCGCTTGTCTTTCTTGATCAGGTAATTAGCACCACGAGCACCATCCATGCCTCCTTTTAAGCCCCGAGGTGCATGCACTCTCCTTTCTGAAAGAATGCTGACCACAACAGGCTGCCGGAACTCTATTTCTCGAATCAGGCCATCACCCCCTCTGTGATATCCAGCACCTCCACTGTTTTCTCGGAGTCCAAACTTGTGAAGAAGGACAGGATACCGCTGCTCAAATATTTCTGGATCCGTCATCCTAGTGTTGGTCATGTGGCACTGAATTCCACTGGTTCCATCCCAAGTTGGTCCTGCACCACTCCCACCTCCAATGGTCTCATAGTAACCAAAAGTGTCATCGCCAAAGGTCAGGTTATTCATGCAACCCTGAGAGCAGGCGCATGCCTGGAATGCAGTTAGAATAACATCTGTTATTCTCTGAGATGTAAGTACATTGCCACCAACTACAGCTGCCTTGTCACTTGGTGAAAGGAAGGAGCCTTCAGGAATATGAATTGTCACAGGAGCTAGGCAACCTTGATTCAGTGGTATGTCAACGTCCACCAAACAACGAAGGCAGTATATGACTGCTGCTGCGGTTACTGCTTGAGGAGCATTCCAGTTGCCATAAACTTCTGGGCTGGTACCTTCAAAGTCGAAATTAGCTTCGCCTTTTTCAGAGTCCATGCTGAGCTTCAGGTGGATTGCAGAACCATCATCCATATAATCTTCTTCTTCAACAACAACAGATCCCTTTTCTTGTTCCACTCTAGCTGCAACTGTTTTGAGCATCTCTCTCACAGCTGCTTCAGCATTTTTCTGTACAAAAGACATGTATGCTTGGACAGTCTCTAAACCATACTGATCAATGAGTTCCTTGATGAGAGCTATGCCTCTCTGGTTTGCTGCTACTTGGGCTCGAAGATCAGAAAGATTATCTTGAAGCCTGCGAGTTCCTAGGATTTTATTATTAGACTTTTCATCCCAACCAGGTGTTTGAAGCAGGTTAACAATTCCCTCTTCTTGGAAGATACCTCCTTCCACAAGTTTGAATGCCTTAATCGCGGCACCCTCTTCCCATATAGACTTTGAGAAGGGTGGCATACTTCCTGGAGTTATCCCACCAATTTCTGCATGGTGCCCTCTGCTGGCCACAAAGAAAACTAGCTTGCCATTGTCAAAAACAGGAGTTACCACGGTTATGTCAGGAAGATGGCTTCCGCCTGCACAAGGATGATTAGAGACAAGAACATCCCCTTCATAAAGGTTATCACCCCAGTAATTTAGTTGCCAACATACCGTGCTTGACATGGCCCCCAGATGAACTGGGACATGAGGGGCATTAGCAACAAGTCCTCCATCGGGGCCAAAAACAGCACAAGAAAAGTCCAGCCTCTCCTTTATATTTGTAGAGATTGAAGTTCTCTGGAGGGTTCGACCCATCTGTTCTGCAATACCCATAAACCGATGGTTGAAAATAGAGAGCTGCACAACATCTGCAACCTTCTCTGCTATATCTATGGCTGTTGGGGCTGAGTTGATCTCAATTCTTATATTACCGTACTTGGTGATCGTTGCCTTACAGTTTGGTTCCACTATAATCGTGCTGTTACCATTCATGATGATTGCAGGACCATGCAAGGTGTGCCCATATCCTAATTTCTCAAGCTTGAATAATGGAGTCTCCAGCCAGCCTTTGCCAAGGTAGATCTTGTAGGAACCTTCTGCTCGAGGAATACCCATAGATGGTTCCAGCTCCCTAGGCTTCAAGATGTTGGTGACTCCTATACCTCTAACCCTCACATCACATATGAGAATCTTCCTGTTCTGCAGCTTGAACCCATACTCTTTCTGGAACATTCTTTCAAATCGACCAGCATAATCAATCCCGTCTTCACCCGTTGGCTGTTTGACCATGATGGCTGTATCAGTGCCCTCGTATCTCAAGTTGAGATATGTTTCTGTGTTTATGCTTTCATCTCCAAAACCTTGATCTCCGAGCTTTTGTCTCACTTGTGTTAATAGCACAGACTCTCTTCGAGAGACCTCAAGAAGACTACCAGGAGTATAGATAGAAGAATATGGCTCCTGTGCCTCCTCAACGACATCAGCCAAGCCCATTCCATAAGCACTCAAAATGCCACAGAACCTGTGGATAAGGACTTCAGACATGCCTAATGACCTGGCTATAGCACATGCATGCTGTGGACCTGCACCCCCAAAGCAAGCAAGCGCATGATTTCTTGTCTCATGACCTTTCATTTCTGTTAGCTGACGGATAGGCCGACACATTGTTTCATTTGCAACATTTACAAAGCCAAGAGCAATCTCTTCTATTGTCATATCCTTTGCTGATGAATCATGGCTCTTTCTGTAAGAATTTATCTCAATAGATAGCTTTTCGAATTCTTTTCTGGCAGCTTCAACATCCAGAGGTTGATCCTCATTTGGTCCAAAGATGGATGGAAAATAGTCTGGAATAATGGTTCCTAATATCAAATTAGCATCAGTCACTGCTAATTCCCCACCTTTCCTGTAACAGACCGGACCAGGGTGTGCCCCAACTGATTCAGGTCCCACATGGAAGGAACCAAACTGGAACTTGAGCTTCGAACCACCACCTGCAGCCACAGTGTTTATGTCAAGCTGTGGTGCTTGAATTATGGCACCAGAGATTTGGGTCTCAAGTACTTGTTCGTAGGACCCATTGTAGCGACTCACATCTGTAGATGTGCCACCCATATCAAACCCAATAAGGGGTTTCGATGTTTCAAGCCCAAAGAGCGTTTGAGAGTAACCAACAACCCCTCCTGCAGGGCCAGACAGGACAGCTTTATGCCCAGAGAAACTTTGTTCCGGTGCAAGACCACCATCCGATTGCATAAATAAGACATTTACCCTTTCTGCCCCGCCTTCAAATCTAGACATAAACCCTGATAGGTACTCTTTGATAACGGGTGTCAGATAGGCATCCACAGTGGCTGTTAGACCTCGAGGCACGGCACGCACCATGGGAGTCAAAGCTGAAGATAAAGAGACATGCCTGAAACCCATACTCAGGGCTAAATTCTCAACCAAAATTTCATGATGAGGGTAGGTGTAGGAGTGCATCAACACAACAGCCAAACAATTGATTCCTTTGTCAAGTAGACATTTCAGAGAAGGTCGTAACCCTTCTACGTCAATGGGCTTTGCCACCCTGAGGAGCTCCCCGGATATCCCCGGAATCGAAGCAGTAGCATTTTCTTTATCAATAACAAGCTCGATCCTCTCATCAACCTCTACAACTTCCTCATAGAGATTTGATGGTTTCGAAACAGTTAGGTCAAAGATGTTTGGCCGTGCTTGGTTCCCAATCTGAAGTAAGTCTTTGAACCCACGGGTCACACAAAGAGCAATCCTTTCACCTTTCCGTTCTAGGAGAGCATTTGTGGCGACCGTGGTGCCCATTCGAATCCACTCAATCTTGTCAGTGGGAATCTTGGAAGACCGGGGAATCTTCTGGCCGCTGAACTCTTCCAGGATTCTACGTACCCCTTCAATAGGAGCATCATCATAGTTCAAAGGATCTACCGATAAGAGTTTCATTACACAGCATTCTGATTGTCCAGGGACTTCAGCATAGATGTCCGTAAATGTTCCTCCTCTGTCGATGCAGAACCTGAACTTCTCCTCCTTGATGCTTCCCATTCCTGTGCTGTCTTGTCTCAGAAGTTAAAGCACTGTACCAAGTACTGTAAGATCCTAAGATTTCCGCATGACAGTATGAGATGATTTACTAAATTGGCTTCCACTGCCAAGTCTTTAGCTTCAAAACAAAAACAAAAAAGAAAATCTAAAACAGACTAACCAATAACTCTCATGTATGCATTATTTTTTTCTCTTTGTACTTCCAACGAACACTCTGTTAGCGACAAGATCTGGTTTTTACATTAGACTCGTAAGAATTAATAACTCGAAATCTTTTCGTCCAGGCAGATTGTTCCAATATTTTCAACTTGGAAGAAAGTGGATGAGCAACCAAAATCAATCCGTTTCCAAGGGTCAAAATTCATTTCACAAAAAGAAATCACACGTTCAACTCAGTTTATTACCCGAAAATGCACGAGCACCAACCATTTCATTGAACTGTCGTCGATTACGTCAACGTTTCATGAACCAAAGTGGATCCGAATATAGAAACAATAAACACATGAACCCACAAATTCCCATCAACGTATTCTTTTCAGACCACGAAATCTTCTTAAGATATAATCGATCAAAAAAGTTTTGGAAGACAAACGAGAACGAAACGAAACAACAGAAAAAGAAAACAGAATGAACGAATTAAAGCTTGGGAAGGATGTAGTCGTTAACCAAGAAGGCTTACCAGGAAAACCGGGAGATGCACCCAAACGAAGCGGGGGGCGAAGGGGGCGAAAGGCGATAGATTTCCTTGGATAGCCTCGCTCGTGACTAAACCATTTTGGTTTTTAGGTCATCAAACAAAATGATTTCATGTGTGCAACTGAACCGGCCACCAAACCCATCGGGTTCGATCGGAGGTCGGAAGGCGGTGGCAACGGCCCGGGAGCCAGCTGGCGTACCAGCCTTGTGACTGGAAATTTGAGGTAGGGCTTGCCGGTGCAAGTCCTCGGTTACCTTCCGGTGTTAAATTGTGACTCGTGAATTTTTGCTTGCGGTCTGGAATTAATCTTGAATTGTGAAGCGGCGGTAAATTGGGGAAACAAAAAAGATAATACTTTTGAAAGAAGGGGTGCAGAAATTCTAGTGGAGATCAACTCGCGAGCTTTTGTTTACTATATATATATATATATATATTCTTTTGTGAAAGAAAACTTAATTGGTTGGGACTGAGGTGAAAGTGACAGAAGTGGACAGATAGCCGCCGCCATGCATTCATATGCAAGTGAGGCCAAATGTGCTATGACACTTATCTTTGGTGATGACATGGATACATGGAATTATTAATCTGCAGGCTCCACCTAACAAGTATTCGGCATTTCATGTACTTCCCATCTAAATCACATACACTACACGATATTATAATCCATGCGGAACAGCTGAACCTGTATCAGATGTCTTTGGAGCAATACCTGCAAGCGGATGCCACTGAAGTCAACATCCTTCTAGACGTTGGTATTGCAACTCAACCACGATAATGCAGCAGAAGTAGCGGGAGTCGATTCTTTTGCTTCCACTACATGTAATGCGGCCAATTTATTGGTCAAGAAATGCTGCAGATGAATAAAACATATAGTCTACATAACAGGAATACTGACTGAACATAGTTTATCTATCTTAAATCATGATCTTTCTACTTCTATAATGAGGTTAATAAATGTCATACAAATAGATGTCAACTTTTGGGAAAACATAGATTAAGTGGCTACTTCTACACAACAACATAGCTTGGACAAAATCCTTTCTAGAAACACTCTAATCCTTTCCTCTCGTTTCTACAGCTAACTTGATCGGATTGCAAATGAGAGCTTCTCTTTACAGTATCACAAAGTAAAAAATGGGCGAGATGCATTTCTTGTATATTAGCTGCAGGAGATGCACCATACTGACCAATGTGTCGACAGTGATGAAGGATCTACAATACTACGGCACTGCACGCTTCCTTTTTGATCTTTTCCCCCTCTTTGGTGCAGTGTATTCGGGAATTTTTTTGCTTTCAGCAGATGAATAAGCCTTGTCAGAGACTTTTCCCTGTCATTGGGTTAATGTTAGTTAGAGAGATCTCTACGACATTTAATAGCCAATTCTGCTGAAAATAGAACAAAAATCACTAGTCTTGCTCATCATATCATAAGGTAAAGATAGTGAATAATCTAATACTTGTCAATAAGTAAATAAGAACAGAATCTGTAACATAAATCATTCATCCCAAGGTAAAAGCAGGGAATAATCTAACATTTAGCTTAAAAGTAAAAAGTTATGGCATGCTAGGAATAACCAACAAAATTTCTCAGATAGATGAAAACCTTTCACTTTATTTGACTTCATTATCATTCACAATTGCTTAGACATCACCTCGATGTTCTTGGTACTATATAGAGTGAAATGCATCTCAGAGAGTTGCTTTCACATCATTGTGATGTCCACCATACAGTAGAAGAGGCAGGAACAGAGGTAAGAAAAACTAACTTGCTTGGACCACAATGTTTCCATCTTTACCAAACTTCTATTTGCTCTCTTCAACTTGTCAAAACTTGCACATCCATCATTGCACCCAATTTTAGTGCCAATAATAGGATGTAAAATGACATATAACAATACTGAGTAAACAGAACTAGTTAATCATATTTAATTTTATTGATAAAGACTGCATTTTATTACTCCAAATAAGCACAGAAATATAAAGTCAATATACTAAAGGCTAAATGAAGCATAAGAGTATCGACAGACCTTATCATTGGACTCCCCATCTGATTCATCATCAGAAATTGATGTAGAAGCTGAAGTCTGCCCCTCAACCGCCAATGCTTTGTTGAACATTTTCCTATTTTCTTCTTCTTTCAATTGCTTCAACCTGCTTTTCAGGTACACATCAGAAACACAGCTTCGTATTCCAAATATTTAGAGAGAATAATCTTATAAGTTGGAATAACAACCTTTCACCAGTCTGTACAGGCTGAGCAGTACGTTTTGCTCGTCCTGCACTAATGATTCCACCTGCATCCCCACTAACAGCAGGTTTTGCCCCACCTAATTTCCGTAACCATATCTGTTGAGCTGTACTTAGAATGTTGTTTGTGAACCTGAAAAAAGAAAGTTTACAAATTAAAAAAAAAAAACCCAACACTCTTAGATTATAAGCTAAAATTTTGAGAGATCCAAGTCAAATATTATGCATATTGTCCAACAATGCTACGCTGATTGAACATCATAGTAAGCATGATGTACACGAGGCTCCCACCAAAGCCGTGGGTTTGAAGAGGATACATATTGTTTAAGTCACCTTATCTAACAACAATTGTTTTGAAAAAATAATGGAATAGACCTATCAGATGGTGGCTTTAGATGAAGCAGCCACCTTCTAACCTCGCCTAGGGCCTTGCCATCCACCTATCAATCAGCACATGAGAGGACACCTAGGAGGTTGGGTAATGCTCTTAGGGTCTATTATTCTGGTCACTAATTAGTTTAACAGAAATTTCAGTGTAGGATCACTAATAACACATGAGCTAACCCATTATACAAGTGAAACTCAAGTCGTAGCTCTCACTTCTCACCTAGAGAGTATTGAACCATGATTTCCTCCAAATCAGCATTGACAATTGGTTGATCAAACAGCCATACAACACCTATGGAATTTGCGTGCAGTATGGTTGGATTTTGCAGAATGTTATAAGCCTATGATATACAATATGTTGTATCTTGTTTCCTGGTTTCAATTTAGTGCAGTATGGTTTCTTATAAGCTACCTTCAGTTTACTATTAGTGAATTTGATGGAAACTACAACAGTAGCACATACCAATTGCACTATGAAAGCAGTGATATAAGTGGCTTGTTTAAGAAGTGTAGAAGTAATATCCTTGACCCAGTGGATAGAGATGATGTATTAGAACCATCATTCAAACAAAACATAAATCTCATAACCTCAGAAAGATATATTGGTACTAATGCAAGTGACACTAAGAGAGAATTATTATTATTCTCCAAATGAGCATAATGCTACTAATAGAACAAAACAATATTTACCTACCAGTAGATTGACAGTCCTGATGGAACTGAGAGTGAAAAGTAACCAATCATAACAGGAAGAAACTTAAAAACAAGAAGTGAATTCTTTGAAGCTGGATCATCTGTCTGCCATTAGATAATATAATCAGGTTAATAAAATAATTAACTGAAAAAATGGAAAGAGAAAAGGGGATTGAGGAGTGAAAAGTTGAGGAATGCAACAGACCTGAGGTGGCTTCATGATCTCCATAGAGACATATTGTGAAATAACAAGAAGAACAGGTAAAACTAGGTATGCTGCTGTGTCAGACCATCCTAAAGGCGGATGTCCATCCTACATAAAATATGACAAAAGAAAGCAACTTAAAAATCTAGCTGAAAGGTAAAATCCATTCTACTTAGAAAGTATAAAGAAACACGATGCACAATTATTACTAAGGGATAGTTGGTATAAACAACAACAACAGACCTTATTCTCAGTAATTAAAGCTAAGCTTTCTACTTTCTTGAGAAAAAAAAAACAACAACAAGCAAGCCATTATGCCCCAACAGTTGGCACAAAAACCTAGAAATTTTTAAATACTGCTGTAATTGAATTCGTGCTTGATCAGATTAAAATTGGTCAATGGCCATATGATTTCCGAGCATCAAAGTTCTTGTAAAAGGTTGGACAAAAATTGAACACACAAATACATAATTTTGTCCTTGTATTTTTTGCTCAATAACACAATTAAGATTCTTTGATGACAAAATATAGCATACATGATTTAGTGAAGTTAAATATTCAGTACATTTTCTTTAAAGAATTTCTGAATTCACACTTTTCACTATAATGGTGTCTCATGAAGTCTACGCTTAGCTAGCAAGGCATCAAAATACACTAATAAACACTTCTAAAAAAATCATGAGATTATCTTCTTTTGATTGGAACTCTTAGTGTCTTTTGCTTAATGCATTTTAACAAAGAATCAACTCTTATGCTTAGTCTAAGCTTGATGCCTTTCATGGACCAACCATAAGAAATCAGATCCAGGAAAGAACAAGCACGTATTACACATTCTAATGCAATGCTGTTAGAAAGATATGCTTAGTGACACAATATGCCAAGATATGCTAAGTGACACAAAATGATGTGTAAAGCATTGATGGACAAAAAGAAAATTGCAACCCATATGGTGAACATGAAGGCTATAACAACAATCTGTAATAGAGCATACTAAATATGAATGTATCCACCATTATGACTGAAAATCTAATTACCACAAATGGTATGAGCCATGAAATGCCAGATCCATTTTGTCGAGCAGCAATTGTTGTTGGACCGCCCAACGAGGGAATCCAGAGAAAGCCTTCTGTTAGCAACCCCTTCAGATAAAAGATTTTGGCAAATACAGCAATTTGGGTTTTAAAGGCTACTTTGAACTTTCAGTCCCATCAGGACTGTCTTTCTAAATAATGAAATTAAATAATGAGTACCTCATTCGCTACATTTGAAAGAGCTTGATACAGACCGATCCAAACAGGTATTGTAGCCAAAGTTGGGAAGCATCCTTTGGGCATCAATACAAAAAATTCAACACAATTGCTTAACATTTTAAGAGGAAAATAGCCAGAATAAGCAAAATATTGCTTCCCCTAAAAAAGCAAAGTATGACCAGAAGTTTGAAGGAATATCAAATAATAGTTTCCAATCTCGGTAACTCAGAATATATAAAATTAGAGACTTGTCAGGCGATGTGAGATTTAGTGTCAAATCAAGAAGGAAAATTTCAAAGTCTTATGTGATAGGATGGCATTGGTCACATGTTTGGGCATCGATATAGTAGAATAGAGAAAGCTAACATACAAAATCTCACTAACGAGGAGGATGAAGAAGACATCCTTTACAAAGAAACAAATAGAGAATGGACTTTAAATTTCTGTGGAAATTTCTTGACAAATTTAAAACAAATGCAGAGAACACAAACACATTATTTTGACTTACACAATGTCTAAAGTTCAGGAATACTACATAAATGCATTTTCATGAGTATGCTTATAACACATGAATTTTACATATGCAT